CCATCAGCAGCAGCAACATCAACAGCAACAACAACTTGGTCATTTATGGTGGGCCTCTTCGATTGGATCTACTATCTTTGCAGCGGCACATCATCAACAGCAGCTGGTCGCGTCCAGTTCCCAGCAGAATGCAACAGGCCCCGCGGCCCCTCGACCACTCTATCCGTCGCCTCTTGCCTTGGGTCACAACCGATTTTCGCCCTACCACACGACTGTCCCCAAGTCCTCAACGCCGGCTGCGCCGTCGCCGTCGCCGTCCAGAAGGGCCACGCCGTCGCCTACAGATAGTCTCAGCAGGGAGGCCCAAGACCTTTCGCCCTCGTAGTCTCTCGTGGCTTCATTAGGAAAACAATGATCGCGATTTTCTTTTAGAGAGACTCGATAGATCAGTGTTGTCACCTGTGGTTGAACTAGTGTACACTTTTGGAACTTAAAGTGAGATAGGTATATGTTTGATATTTGGCGAAAGGGGAAGAAGAGAGTTCTAGTACAGTCTCATGCAGGAATAAAAAACAGGAGGGGTTTGATGTCTCAAACATGTTATTAAGACTGCACGAGCTTTTTTTCATATAGAAAAGAAAATTCCGTACAATTGGATTGTACAATTGCGTTGCGTTTTTTATGAAGGAATCTATTCCTCTCGATGTGATGAAAGTCAACTTTTCTCGACTAAGACCGAAATGTAACAATCAATTCATCTTGCAATATTCGTCTTCTTTCACTGAAAAACTGACGAAACTTTTGCGCGCGCTGATCGATTTCCATCGCATTATTTAAAAAATAATATAAATAAGTGTGTAAAAGGAGCCTTATGTCCATTTCTACCGAATTAAGTTAAATCAAGATTAAAGTTAATCTTGATTTGGTAGAAATAAGTGTTATTCGGTCAAAGCGGAGGTGCCTAATAATAATAATTTCTTGCATGAATTTTTACGTAGATTTTCATAATTCAAGCAAATTGCGTGCCGATTATTTGTCGATCTTGAAACACAATCATAAACTGAAACTAGAATTGTAATAAGGTAAACTCGGGTAAAATGGGCATACGAAAAAGATGGCCGTTGGCTTTCAGAATGGCTACAAAAATGCTTTATTTAGCAATTATTAGAGAAATTACAGCTCATGGCCATAGTACCCAAGCTTACCTTGTCATGAATTAAATTGATGTACGATTTAAAAATAATGATTATTATTAATAATATAATCTTGTAATGAAATTATAACAATATTATTAATAATAATTATTATTATTGATTATTAATTTAAAATAATAAGTATTTTATTTTTACTTAAAATAAATCTTTATGTTTCATTTCTTTTAGAGTTCCAGAATTCTTAGTAGTTACAGAATTTTCTTATTAAAAGTGCAATATTTAACGTACAATTAATTATTACGTTTTTTGTCATTGAATTATTAAGGAGCCGGTCTCCATTCCGTTAGATTAATACAAGATGAATGTGAGCATTCGCACATTCATATGCATGCGTAACGTGATAAATTGATATGGAATGTTTACGTAAAACGGGGATCGATTTTCGTCGCGCGTGTCATATGTCACACGGCGTCGGAAGACGTCGCGGAGTAGGTTGCCGCGAGTCCGGGGTACCGACGAAACGTGAAGAATCCGGCATGAATAGCGACGATAATTGTAGTGTCAAAGGTTCCCGAGTTGGCCACGGCGAGTTGTCGCTCTCCGTCCTTTTCTCGCGCCGCGCCGCAAAGATGAACCGGAGGAAAGAAACGTAAAGCTCACGCTCTCCGAGAGTCTGAATACTGCCTCTCTCGGCTGAACTCTCGACCTTTGGCGTGGTGGCAAAGCACAGGGGACCCGAGCCGTCTCACGTGACTCGGCGATTCCGTTGTCTCCTTGACTGAACCCTGGGACCGAGAGAAGCTCGATCTGTACATATCCTTGCCTTGATCAGCGATCGGAAGCGATAGGACCGCCGCGATCCTGGTAGTCGGGATTATGGGCGTAGCCAGGAAGGACAAGGAAGACCATGGTGTACCTCTAATTCTTAAAGAAGAACAGAAGTAATTAAAGCTTTTAAACAGACTATGTTTTGTGAGTACTCACAAGAAATTATAAATTTTAGAAAAGAAGACAGAAAGTTCTAAAAAGATTTTCTGAGAATCCAAGATGGCTAGTGTTCTAAATTTAAGTTTTTCCAGTTTGAAGGATCAGTTTACAATTTTAAAAAATTAATTAATAAATAAAATATATGTATGATTATATGATTTAGCTATCAGTAATTTATTAAATATGATATAAAATAAAACAAATCTGACAGTCCATACCATCGACTATCTCCCCACCCCCCTCCCGAGTTAAAAAAAACATCTCAAATTTAATTTTACTTCCTTCCTAAAAATATCCTGGTTACGCCCATGGTCAACGTATACCTAAAAACGCATTTTGAAATCAATAAAAATAAAAAAAATATTGCGTAAAAAATCTCTTGCATTTGCAGAAGAGATGCCGGATATCTTGAACTTTAAGTTCCTGACATGTATCTTGCAGCATATTTTATAGGTTGATCGCCCAGACTACTCTCACTGTCATAGGAAAAACCGCGATGATACGCCGAATCGGATAATCCGATTTCTCGAGCGAAAACGTTTTCGTTGTGCGTTCTCGTTTCTATATTTCATCAAAATTGTTACTTTGTAGCTGCGTATCTTTGTATGCAAGAAACACAGTTGCGTGTCGTTTCGAAGTCGAGCGAACGATCTGCAAAGATCATAGTGATCTTCAGCGGATCGCACGCGCAAGAATACGAACGGATTGTACATATGTAACCATCCTGATTCCCAAGGCGGCATAATTGCCGTACAATGCCGTACATAATACACGTATATACATCTTTAAGGGCAACACTAAGCTGTACGACGACTAAAGTCTACTTGTATATAGGTATACATATATATACTTGCGATATAAGATAACTACGCCTCTATCTCTTGTAATATAAGCTGTATATTTCGTATCACAAGCTATTGTTATCGTTATTTATGTTTCGATTCCATACTTCGACGTAGAGTGAGCGCGAAGTGAGCGCCTTGAACGCGACATGTTTCGACTGAAAGGATTTACAGTACTGCGATAAATCATTTTTCCACATAGCACCGATCTCTAAAGGACATTCTAAAGACATCCATAAGATATTTTCCTAAGGATGTTTTCAAGGTGTCTCTTGGATAAAGTGTGTTATGTAGATTAAAGAACCGATGACTTTGACATTCGATTCACATTTAAGTTGAGCCTAGCGAAAGGTTGAGGAATCGTTAAGGATCTCAGAGCGACACTTCGCGCGTTCTCTGCGAGCACCTAAAGGATTATTATCGCCGCGGCGATTAGTGTTAGTGTAGAGCGTTACATTGTTAATGCTTGTGTTGTGAGAAACGCGTACACCTATTGCTGTGCAAGCTGCTCCCTTGTAAATAAACCCTAATAAACTTCTTGTACCGAATATATCCGAGCAGCCGTTCCGAATATTCTCCCTTAGCTGTCGTCTATTTCTGTTACGTTCCACTCATTCCTAAAATTGTCTTGTTTAAATTACGTAAGAATTTTGGAAAGATAACAGACTTAATCGTATTTTTATCATCTCTGTTCGTAAGAATTTAATCCTGTATCATCCGTACGGGAAGGTACTGAAGCATATACATCATCGTTATCATATAATTAACTCATAAATAACACAAAAACATTTCCTTCTCTCTCTTGTAGATTATTTATCGCCGGGTCGCAGATATTATCCTACGGACAAATCGCTCGAGTATCTACTCTCTCATCCTTGGCGTGGGTAAGCCTGATGTGATCGAGGTAAGGAACTATTATTCGCAGTTGATCCTGTCCGAGCTGGCGTGTACACGCTTAGGCAAATGTTGTCGGTTCTGTATGGTTAACTGGCTACAGGATGCCCCGTTTAAAGGCATCATCACGCGATCCTCAAGCCGGCCGTGCGATTAGGGGATGAAGGAGTCACCATTTGTTGGAAATGCAAGCCAGCGAGACTGACTGATCACCAACGCGGTCACGAGATCGCTCTCGCGTTGTCGTTCTTGCATTGGGCATTTTTGTCAGCGTATGTGACACTCATTTATCGCAATGAAGAATTAATTCTCTCTTTTTAATCATATGTTTTCAAATTCTGTAATGAGCAATTTTATCGAATTGTTCAGATAAAGAATTTTTACACTGAAAAAAAATTTCCTAGATCTAAGTAATATTTTCTTGAATAGTAATACTAAGTAAACATTTCCTTATTGCAGATAAATATTTACTAAATATAAACATACATTATTTAATTTAAATATTACTTTCCTTTTTGAATAAATATTTATTTGCATTAAAGAAATGTTTACTTATTGTTAATACTATTCAAGAAAATATTACTTAAATTTAAGAATTTTTTTCAATGGGCAAATAAAAATCTAATAGACAAGTATTTTAATACATATAATACTAAAACTATCATGTTTCGAAGTTAATTATAACGGAATTTTATTAACTTATAATATATATAAACTGGAAAACAAATTGACAAACAAAAATTATCGTAAAATTATATATTGGCCGGAAACTTTTATCTGCCACTATATGTCATCGAGTATTTTCTTAGCAAATTTCAACTGATTTTATATCACTTTTATTCTTTACAAACATTATAATATATATTTATTACATCTTCTATCCGTTAAATCGCGAATGTATATGAAAGCTGTAACTTCCACCGCGTCGACAATTGAAATAATTAATTAGTATACCATACTAAACTGGGATTAAATTTATCGTTCGCGTAGCTATTCGCTTTATTAATTCGTCGAGCGATCATCATGTCGTAAAGTGGGCAGAATGAATACATTTCCATCGTTATGGCCGTATCGGACGGGCATTAGGACATGAATAGACGTGCCGTCGGTCGGTCCCGACCGATCCATCCTTCGGTCGTAAATCACACGTCGCGTTCGGCACGAAAGGGCGACGGGATCCGGTATTAGCAGCGGCGCCGAGAGGAGTGACACGGTGGAGAGCGTTACGACGAAAAAGGGAAAAAGCGGCGCGTAACGTCTCGTCGTCGTAAACATCGAGGATGTCCGGCCGCTTGATTAGGTCCCCTCTCCCGTCCTGTCGCCGTAAAGCACGCGATTGCGATCACGCCTTCGGTAAAAAGACCGAGAACGAAAGCACATGAATCTGCCTCTGCTCATTAAAATGGAGCACATTTTACAAGGCGAGAGCGACTCCTGATGGGAATATAATTTACGAAAAATTTATCACGGACACCAGATGTCTATAAAGACATCTTAATCATTAGGCTATCCCCACGCGGTTTTTGAATTTTTTTTCAATTTTA